AAGAAGAAAAAGAATAAAGAGACAGAGGGGGCAGAGAGAAAGAGTAAAAGAAAGTTAAACAGTATTTAGAACAGCTTCTTACTACAAAAAAATTCTTTGATAAGTGTTGTATTCTTACCACATTGAAAGCTGTATGTAAATTTATTTTCATCACAATCATCAATGGTTTCATTTTTTTCCCATTTTACACAAATAGTAGTATTTGCTTTTTCAGGTTTTGTACAGTTAACTAATTGAAAATTTCCAGGCTCTGTCAAGAAGATTCAGAAATAGACTTAATTAATATTTTGTAATTTGTGCTATAATCTCTATTAAAGTGACTGAAATTATATTAATAGCATAATTTGGCTAGCATTGAGACTAATTTTGTTAAAGTCTAATAACACTTGGGTGTTGTGTTTTCTTATTATTTACCTTGTTATTTTTCAAGACTATATATTCTGGTAGCGTTTCATTTAGAATTTGTGTTACTTTTAAAAATGAAACAGACAAAATGTCTGTTCTACCCAAAGCAGTCTACAGATTCAAGGCAATCCCCATAAAAGTGCCAACATCGTATTTTGAAGAAATGGAAAAAATGGTACTTCATTTTGTATGAAACCAGAAAAGAAAACTCTGTATAGCTAAGACTATTTTAGTAATAAAAACAAAGCCTGTGCATCACCCTGCCAGACTTCAGGCTATAAGTCCACAGTAATCAAAGCAGCATAAAAATAAAAAGAAAATTCAGGCAACCAATCAGATACAATTTCAATCTTTGCATATTTCAAAGCATTCATTCCAATTTATATTTGTGCTTACATCTTCAATGTTGTGTTTACTCTTTGATTCTTTTTTTTTTTTTATTGAATGGTAACTATGTACATTAATGCACTTCTGGGGTACAGTGTGGGGTTTTCACATGCAATCCGAAATACTTCCATCAAACTGGTCAACATAGCCTTCATGTCATTTTCTCAGTTACTGTTTTAAATCTTTGATTCTTAATTAGAGAATAGTACACAGAGTAGTGGAGGTTTCTCTTTTGGGGAATAAATTTTCAGTGTTATAATTTTCTGTGGTCAACTGATGAGTTACATCAGTAATATTTAGAAAACAATGAATACATTAAGTGAACTTTTGTTTTCAAAACTTGTCAGATGTTTAACACATTTAAATGTGAATAAATTGATCAATAATCTGGCATTGTTAAATGATGTGAGATATCTTTTAAAATTACATGAGCCCTGAATCCCTTTCCCAAAATGCATTTTTCTAAGACACGTTTCCTAGAGACTGCTTGACAACTTTCATTCCTTCTCTTTCCCAGAGATAACTTAGCTGGCAAAACCAGCTTGACCTTTTTCCTTTGAACGTATTTCCTATGAATGTCAAATCCTTAACTTTATGTTTTTCCCCAACATATTACAGATACATTTGCACTTGAAAGAAGAAATCCATGCACATTCATATTAAACGACTTTAATTAAGTAGAGAGGAAAAAAGAAAGACCTAGTAGCCAATGGTTGGCAAAGTAAGCTACATCTCCTCTATACTAACACCTCTGTCAAACAAGCAGGAGCGATGACTAAGGTCTATAAACAGAAGGCTTAGGTTGCTTTGAAATTTTTACTTGGTTAGGAAAGCAAAAAAGTTCATACACTTGTATGCAGCAGACTTCTTTTCTCTCAGCCCTGTCCTTCGCCAAACTGACTCCTGCCTTACACAAAATCACACTTTTTTATTGTAAATATAGAAGTAGAAACAAATCGATTTACCTGGTAGGACATCTAACGTTAACTGTTTAGGTGGGCCAGCACATGTGTGATGAGTTATATTAACAGTGAAGCTTGTGCATTGTTGTAGGTTATGGAACTCATTGTTTGTACAGTTCACAAATCCACTACATTCCACTTTGTCATTAACATTAAGCTTTGCTGTAAATGATTTCTTTGTACTATCATAGTTGTAATCCACAGAGATGTCTGCATATTTGCTCTCTGAAAGAAAATGAAACCATGACAATGATCTCTTTTTGCAAAATGAATAAAATTATGTTTAATGCAAATTCCTTAACGTATACTTTTTAAAATGTCAAATCATCGACAAAACACCCCCAAGAACATAAAAACATGATGCAAGGCATCAGCTGCCTCCATATCGTTCTTTTCCTAATTCCCTTTCTGAAAGAACCTCAGCTTGTACATTAATATTTGGATTAGTATCAGATAAATGTCTGTCTTCCTAACTGAACTGTGAATTTCCGGGTGAGCAAAATCTGATCTATTCAGATTATCACCACAAACCCAGGTCCGTGTACAATACCTGTCATTCGTAGGGATTCAGTAACGACTTGCTGAGTTGATGCACAAAGGAAAGATGCAACTGAAAATTTCTTCTTCTAGCTTCATGTTATAATTACTCCTGTTATTTAAAACCTAGTTATCTGTTTCTCCAAATATGTGGAACATTAATTATTTAGGTTTTTTTTTTTCTTTGCAGTTTCTGGTCAGGGCCTGGATTTGAACCTGCAACCTCCGGTATATGGGGCCAGCGCCCTACTCCTTGAGCCACAGGCGCCACCCAAACATTACTTATTTAGAGGCCACAGGTTCTCCTCCCTTCCCTCCTTTAACTATGTAAAACTATCACAGCTTGTGGACCCTCCCAAGTACCTTTCTTTCATGTCAACACTTTCTGTGACTGATAAAAATATCTTTTCAACAGATCTTCATTTATTCACTGACTTTTATTTAACAGAAAACTGTAAGTAGTTCCACATTACTTAAGTGAAAAGGGTAAGGAGGCAATGATGGGAGAGGAGAGGTGGATGGAGCCTGATTATAAAAGAACTGTTGATTAAATAAACAAACCGTGGCTTTTGGCCACCGTGGGATATTAGCTTTTAAGATTCGGAGGTAGTCATTGGAAAGAAATTAGAGCCAGTGAGTTTAGTTTGCTAGTGGATCAAGAAAGCTTGGAATGAAGAAGGAAATAATTAAAGTGTTATTCCAAAGTGAGGGATGCTGCCTCTAGGTCAACACACTTACCACAGGATATCATAGGAGTAGAAGCTGTAACAGAGAGAGAAAAAAAAAGAAGAAGAATGCAAATGATTAAAATTTTATTTTGGAACAGTGCTGTGTCATTTGGGGGAAAGATGATTTACCATGTTTCGACTTCATAAACTATAAAAACTGATCATGTAAAAGTTCGCCTAGGTGTAACAGATAATGTAAAGTTCACCTAGTGCAATGTTTTACCCTTAAAACTGCAAACTTTATCAACCAATGAGCTAGTTCCATAAAACGTTGTCATGAATTTATCCAACCAACACAATTGTGATAATAACAATATTAAGACTTTACACATCTGATTGGGGTATGGTAACATGGCTGAGTGTTTCCAGAGCCAAAAGTATTTTAAAGGTACTCATTCCCTTGATTAACATCAAAATAAATTTATTTAATTATAATCCCCACAGAATGAGGTTTATGCTTTTGTTTGTAAGAAAATAAGATGATAGTTTCATTCTCCAATTTTTTGATGCTCTGTGCACACCAACAGTAATAAACTCCTCTCTCAGCAAATGGAGGAGTATCGTATGTGGGTTTCTGTATTCAGCCAAAGAACTGAGAGAGAATGTGCTTTGTGGAAGCTGAGAGATCTGTGCTAATCTTGTTTTGAATGGGGAAGAATTTGAGAGAGCATGGTGGGCTTGCAAGCTCTTCCTTTGCTCCCTGATCCACCGATACCACCCTTGCTGTGGCGGGTCCCCCCAAACCTCTTCCCCTTCCCTCCATGCCCCATGGCTGTTTAACTGGAACTCTGTGATCCCCACAGAGAGCCCCTTTGATGGAATCAGTCTTTTCCATACTAAGAACCAATACCCCCCTTAGCAAAAGAAGTTCTAGTAGATTCTGTTATTTGTCATACATGTTTTCATAAAACGTACAACTCTGGGGAGATGCTAGGACAACAATATGATGGGTTATGACAGTAACATTATGTCTTGATCTCATCAACTGCTACACTATAAGTAAGGAAATGTCTAGCTGCTGTCGCATGGCCCTTAGGACTCAAATATTTAATGGAATTTCTCAAAGGAAGGAGACCAAGATAGAGCAGGAGGAGGACCCTGTCGTGAGCACATCCCCAGCATAGCGGGTTGCACGGTTGCATGACCGAGGGTAAGGTTGTCACCTGTTGTGGTTGACAGGACAGTGCTTGCTGCAGTGCTCAGAGTGGATGACACAGGGGGTGCATCAGAGGAAGCTGCAAGAAAATGAACAGAAGAATAAAGGTTCATGAGTTTGTTATTTTGAAGGGTGAAGGGAAAACTCTTTAGCAAAGATCGTTTCCTAACATAATCTTTGCTTTAGCAAACCTCCTTTGATTGGACACTTGCTTGTTTTTCAAATCACAAAGTGAATCAAAGGTTGATCTATGAATGGCCCTTGAAATTAACAGTATCTCCAGTAATTCCAACCAAACATTGTATATGATGAAGGGAAACATAATTCCTCGGTGTGATTCTAACCTGATTGGAGATCTTCCTCAAACTATTCCATTCCCTTTTAATTACAACTCTCCTTAGTTTGGATACTAACGGGACTAACAATTACTCTTTGGTAACACTTTTTACATATCAGACTTTTTACACATTCAGTCTTCACATTAATCCCAGGAAATAAGTATTATTTCCATTTTTACAGAAGGAAAAACTGATACTTAGAATTAGTAATTTGTCCTGTGGTCAATTAGAAGGTTGAAGACATGGGATTTGATCCCAGGGCTATATGACGTTAAAGTTTATTTACTATTCTTTTTTGCCATGACCATTTATAATAGGACTAATAAAATGAAACTTACCTAGAAAAACTTACTAGAAAGTTTCTTTTGCCTAAATCAGTACAAATATGGAAAATTTACCAAATAGGAAAACTGCAAATAATATTTGGCATGAAATAAAAGAGCTGCGTTCAAGTTCTGAGTTTTCACTGCATTGTCCATAGCTGAAGTCACCTAAGCAGCAAACCTGAGGAGTTGGGAGTGGTGGTGATGTTGGAAGTGAGTGCAGGTAAGACAGCGGAGCTGGTGCGTGCAGGCCCGGGGGTCGTTACACTGGAGTTTGCAGGAAAGGGGCTGTCTCTATTCCTCTCTCCTGAGCCACCTGTAGGTAAGGCAGTGGGGCTGATGTGTGCAGGGCTGAGGGTCGTTGTGAGTGTGACACTGGAGTTTTCAGGAAAGGCGCTGTCTGTATTCCCTCCTCCTGAGCCATCTGCAGAGAGAAGGGCCATGAGCACTGTCACTCATTCCTGCCACACAAGGGCAGACGCCAGAGAGCCAACATAAACACAACCACTGAGACTAAGGCAGGGGAGCCAGCAATCAAGCGTTTCAGCTATCCTGCAACGGATGCATTTTACAAAGCTGTACTCAAAACACCTGGGCTTAAGAGAAAGGGAATTTCGGAGGCAGACAGCTGGAAACCTATGCAGCTTAGTAGTCGGAGCACAACTTTAAAAAACAGCTGGGGCTTCAGGAAATAGCTCGGTCAGCCCAAGGTTGCAAGCCTCCTGGCTGAGGGCTGTCTCGGGCAATATTAAAAATGCATCAAAGCAGTTGTGGGGTTCTGTCTTGCTGGTGCTGAGGCCACGTGGATGGAAGTGAAGCTCTGAGTGTAAAAGGGTCTTTAAGGTTAGCGCAAGAGGAATTGCAACCTGGTACATGCTGTGAGGCTTCCAAACCTGAACCCCTCTGGGGAGGGATCCCTGGGGCAGGTGGCTCAGTTTGAGTTCATCTCTTAAAATGGAGACGAATAGGCTTCCGCCTGTGCAGCAGCTGAGCTCAGAGTCTTTTCCTTTCCAGACGAAGGCTGCAATTTTGCTTTCACTATACAGGCTCCACTTGCTAGGAAAACTCAAATTGGTTGGTTTGGAACCAACAAACCCCACTTCATACTGACACCACTCTCCTATTTTCCAATCTCATATGAGCTAACGGGTAGAACGTAGCATTATAGCTGAAGAAACTGAACATGGTCCTCAATTAGGACTGTTCACTGTCAGGCTTCAAAGCACCTAATGCATTTCCTATCTTCCCTACACATCACACCCAGAATCACAATGCAGGCAATCAATGTATAGTCATGGGGTACTGACTAGATGGCACCATGCTAGTAGCCACGGCAGAAGCCAAAGAACTATGAGTTAGCCTTTATTCAATAACTTATTTTGCTATTTCACTGTCAAGATGCCTGGTGTCATCCGTTCAATGATCTGAGATTAGCCTAGCATTTGCAGTCCACTTCTGTGTTTCGGCAGTGATACCCGCAGAGCAGGTGCATGAGTGAGTGTGCAGGCATCTGGCAGTTCCAAATGGAATGCAGTGTGTAACTTCACATGTGCATCCCATTAGAATCGGAAATACATCTTCCAAAGAACATAGTTGGGGTTCTCATTGCGGACTTTAAAGCCACTGAACCATAAGGTTTACCTAAACCACAGAACAGAATAAGGAACATAAGTACCAGTTCCTCAGTGCCGGATGCCCAGAGCAAAGTCTCAACCAAACAAGAAAAAGGGTAAGGAAGGTTTGCTGGGTGTTTAGAAAATTCATTCCGACAGAACTGGCCCGTGTCAGCGCATTAGCCGCAGCCTCATTCCTCCTTGGCTTGCTTCTACCCACTTCTCCACTCCCCTCTCCTCAGCTTGTGCCCTTCTTCCCCCTCCCAAGAAGCCCTCGTGCCCTTCTGTGGTTCCCACTCTCACCCTCCCCAATTCCCTACTTTCCTTCCTCATGGGAAAACCACTTTTCCCTTGTTAAATATGTAATCTCACTGCTGGCTTCTGAGTGGCATTTACAATTTTAATTAGGGTGATTAATTCTAACAGATTATTAATGAGCCATATTAGCCACAGTGAGAGGGAGTATTCCTTGATCAGGGTGGAACAGACTAGGTTGTGTGACAATCAGACTCCAAGGGCCAGTCCTTTTCTTCACCCCATAGCTTCTGCCCCTCCACAACTTCTGAATCTGTGAATCTGCTAAAAGCTCCAAATCTTCTGACTGTCATTCCTGTGGCAGCTGCAATACATGGAAAAGAAGCAGGGGACGGGGCAGCCCTAGAATTGCCTAGAATATGTTCATGCCAAGGAACAGTTTTCATCCTCGAGAATGGCAATTATTCTATGGGGTACACCTGACTTCCATGTTTGATTCACACCCACAGTGAGACCGCTTTGCTGCCAGCCCCATAGACCTTCCATTTATATTTCAGCACGCAGGATGCTAGGTTTATATATGCAACTGCGTGGATCTGTGAGCTGAGAAAGTACATACTTGTTTTTCCTGCATAAAAAAAGGCATCCTGGAGGGATTTCGAGTCTGACTTTAGAAAGTCCAGGGAGGGAATATTTTGAATTGTTATAACTACAGAGACGCTAAGCTGCAAGAATCTCGTATAAATGAAAAATATGAGCATCTATTCCTTTTCCCCCTCATTCTCTAAATAGCAATTTCACGATGGTTAGAATTTTGCAGAGCTCTTCGTGGATGGTAGGAGTCATCCACTTTTCCTTATTTAGTGGCATGAAGTCTTTAAGTCAAGATATCTGTGCATTATTTGTATTACTAGCAAAAGGAAGTTTTCAAACATACAGAGTACCCTGAATAGCTCTTTCCCCCTTATGCAAGTTTTTGCTGCAGTCTCACTCATCTTACTATTATTTCATCTCCACTGAAAGGAGCTCTGGTGCGTGGTTTCATTTCCTAAGGGCAACTGTGAAACCCCAAATTCATCAACTAGTGAATGCCACAGGCAGCTGGCTTTCCTCACACCATGCTTAGATCCAAGCGACTGTCATGTACTCTTCACATTTGCACAAGTCTAAAGGACCCGCAAACCTGAGGTTTCATTCCTGCCCGGGGCAGGCGTGAGTGCGGTAAGGGCAGCGGGGCTGCTGTATGTCTGCGTGCCAGCGTCGTCAGAGGGCTTCTGCGAGTGCATGGGAAGGTGAGGCGTCTGGGATGTAACACCTAAGGTAAGAAAGTGAGATCATTACGTCAGGCTTCCTCCCTCCCAGACGCAAAGTTTCAATACTGACACAGGAGCGAATCGCTATGACAGTTCACCAAACTGTCTACCAGCATCTGTTTGGCAGAGAGGTGGCCCCTGAGCTCCGCCTGTCTTCCTGAAAGTCCCTGGAGCTGGACACAGCCAGAGAGTTTCTGCTTCCACAGGGCTTTCTTGACTTTCCAATCACTGCGAGGTTTTTGGATTCTCAACCAACTCTACAAACTGACATTTGGGACATTTTTCTTTTGTGGGGAGATTAAGAAAGATATCCTCTATCTGTTACTGTCTCATAAAAATCACAAAGGGAAAAGGGCATTAAAAAGGGACAAGAGATGTCCCTATATTTAATATAAATAAATATTTAATATATACAATGGCCAAAGTATATGAAAAGATGTCAACATTATGAAAAAAATTTTTAAGAACATGAAATCAACATGAAATATTTTTATGTCATGCTCACAGACATTAAAACATTAGTAACATCCAGTGTAAGAAAAGGTGTGAAAGCATGGAAGCTGTCACATGTATGTGTGCTTACACAAACACACTCACAAAATCATATTCCCAGAGCCTGGAGGACATACAATCATGGTTAAAAAGGTTATCTTTAAGGAACAGAATACTCATTGCGTGTGTGTGTGAAGTATACATATAAAGCATATATGTGTCACACAATTATATATACACACACAAAGTTCTATATTTATAATGTTTTGCAACATGTATAAGCTATGTTTATAAAAATATTACACATTTAAATGTAGTTATACATATGGATGCTTATGGAATCATTTTCAAAAAAGAAACAATTATAAATGGTGTACATAAGCGTTAGAAAACTTAAGAGGTTTTTTTTTCCTAATTATATCAATAAGAAAAATCTTATGGCATTCCATTATATAAATCAATCTTAAAAATAAATAAGACATCTAGCCTTATCTCAGTAGAAAGCTGAAAAACCACCTGATTGGGCTTAGTCCCTGCAGCACAGTGGTTACAGTGCCAGCCACATGCACTAAGGCTGGCAGGTTCGAACCTGGCCTGGGCCAGCTAACAATAATGACAATTGCAACAGAAAAGTAGCCAGGTGGCAGGTGCCTGTGGTCCCAGCTACTTGGGAGGCTGAGGTAAGAGAATCACTTAGGCCCAGGAGTTTGAGGTTGCTGTGAGCTGTGATGCCACAGCACTCTACCCAGGGTGACATAGTGAGACTCAAAAAAAAAAAAAGAAAAGTAAAGAAAAACCACCTAATAGCAAAATTATTTTCTAGAAAAGAAAACGTGGTCTTTTACTTAAAAGCAGAGAGTTTCAATCTGTCCAGGGCTGTGGGAAACCGAAGCAGGCAGAAACTGGGAGGATGGTGAAGAATGTGGAGATGAGAGGACACGGGCACAACTTTCCCCTCTTTATGTTACTTAGAAAGTCTCCTCTCCTTCCCCTTTTCTCTCCTCTCCCTGACAACATACCTACATGACTTTAGTCAACCAGTGTTTCATAGATACTTAATATTTTCCACACTTCATGCACTTGCATAAAAAAACATACTTAGAAATAACCCACATAATTCGAAGAAAAAACTATTGTGATAACGTCAGAATTTTTAAAAAGACAAGCGTTCTCCAGCATCACTTCAGTTTTCATTTCTCTGCCAACCTTCTGCAGCAGGAACACCAGGATTATCCAAAGTGTCCGGCGATACTTGGGTTGAAGTATTGCCTGGACTAAGAGGAGGCTTGGGCTCTGAGGAGTCATTTCCTCTGTCAGAGATGCTTGCAAGTGAGAATGCAGTGGTGCGAGCAGGTAAGGGGTCACTGGTAGGCACAGCACTGGTTATGTTCAGTCCTGTTACAGTAATAGGAGATGAAAGGAGAAAATAAGTACGTGAATCATATTCAAAAACACATGGTGATCAGAGTAGATGGCCTCCCCAGTGCGTGTATATACCCAAACCCATATACCATACATATATGATGTATGGTATGTATGAAGTATCTGCGTATGGCATGTGTACACATTTGTAAATAAATACATATACATCCAAGGTCAGACAAGTAAGTTCACGAACTCTTCCTGGAAAACGTACTGCATATCTCATTGCATTCACCCTCCAAGTACTCTCTTGGGAAGCTACGCACTGGTGTCACCCTTCAAAGCAATTTTGAAACTCTTTCTGGAGTGGCCATCGGGGCTGCCAGTGTAGGAGGCCACCTGATCATGGTCACCTTCAAAGTACTCCTCCTCACCACCTGGTGACCATATTGATAGTCAGCAATGAGGTATGTAGCACTTTTTCTAGGATGAGTTCACAAACGTAAATGTCAGACTTTGTACATCCAGACATAGATGCATACAGAGATAAATATGACCTACAGACATAGCCATACAACAAGCTACAGAATAGTGGCTAAAAGGAAAAACACAGAAATAGGGGAAAGCAGCTATTCTCTGCCCCTCTTCCCATTCAACTGCTGGGTTCTCAACTATCCGAAGCTATTGGGTTCAGAAAGATGCAGCACAATGAGTAACTAAAAAGAAAAAATTAACGACTTAAAGAGAGAAATAGAGAGAGAGATTATTAGGAGGGCTAAGGTCTCAGAAGGAAAGAAAAATGAAAGACAAAAGTGCTAGATATACACGATTAAAAAAAAAACTAAATTAAATTCCAACCAAGGAAGAGAAATATAGACAAAGGATTGGAAAACAAATCTCACAAACAGGTTTATGAATTACCCAAGACTGCAGAAATGCCTCCAGTTTCATGGCAACAGAAGAAAACACAATTTAAAATACTGAAATAATATTTTCCACAGACCAAGTTTACTTTAAAGGGAAGAAAAATGAAACCAGGTGATACTGAACAAGGTACATGAACATTTGGTAGGAATGTACTCGGGCACAACCTTTCTACAGGGCAAAATAGGACCGTGTACCAAAAGCCTTTAAAGGATTTTGTGCTCTCTTATTAAAAAAAAAAAAGTGCAGAAAAAAGAACAGAGAAATACACTGATTTTTTTTCTATATCATATGATTTCTAGAGTTGGGGATTATAGAGTTGCAGTTTTTCCTAAAGTTTCTATGTCTAACTTATATTTACTTCTTTAAATTGCCACATATCTATATTTAAATATTTAAGTCATCAAAAACTGAGTTGTACTACAGACAGGCATTTTAGTTAATCGTGGTCAACAAAATTGGGCAAAGAAAATGGCGTAACTATGGGAAGAGCGAGTGAATGGGAGAAAGGAGAAAGGGAGAAGAAGTGATAAGGAAGGAAAGAGTAAATAACTACAACTCAAATATTCCTAAACAGGGAATTAAGAAAATGGAAATAAACACGGTACAAAGAAATCCCAGCTTCATTCCTTAATATGAAAGGTAGAATGAATTTTTAGTAAATAAAGATAAAAGCCAAGTGAATCATATTGCACTGCCCCAATGCCAGGGTCCGTGAAATATGGCAGAACTATTCTGCGATTCCAGAGATACAAAATAATAGTAAGGTTGTTTGGCATGTTATCGTCCAATGAAAATTTTTAATTTATAGAATTTCGTGACCAACTCACACATAAATAGTAGAGATAAACTTTCACCCATAACTACATGCTAAGATGTCCAACTAAGAACAGTAATAGACAAGTAGCTACCTCCAGTCCTCAGTGCTGATCACGGCTAATTTCAGTACACAGATGGAATAAAAGGAAAGAAGGGAGAGTGAGAGAAAAGAAAGGAGGAACATGGGGAGTGGGACAGAAGGAAAGAACTAACAACAGAAGAAAGAAAAGAAGGGAGGGGACAAGAGGAAAGGAGGAAAGAAGCTCAAACTTCTTTCCATTAACATTAATTAATTGTCATCATTACAAATTGGACCATTATTAATGTATTTTTATGTTGAACCGATGTTGGTGTTGGCAGAGTCCCAATGATCCCTTTGCTTTGGGAGATAAAACAAGTTCTCTTTCTCATCCACTCCCGCTCTTGTTAGATTTGAGTTTTTTGAATTTAAAGAAGATTAGATGGGGAAATCACTCCAAAAAGCACAAATAATCATGCTGTGCTATTGTGGAGAGTCATTCCTAAACATTTCTTCTAGTCAAACATATTCAGTCCCAGGTGTATGAAGAAAGGGTGTCCAGGGAACTAACTCCTCAATCTCCTTGCTCACATCTTAAACTCAGTGCATATCGCCTCATTTCACAAATACGAGATTAGTTTGAGATTAGAATACACGGTCGTCAATTCCACATGGTCCCTGAACCTCTGCTTTGGAGATACTACTGGTTTCCATTGATTACATTCATGTCTGTACTATTTGGAAGAAATCATTCCCATTTGCATTTTGGAGCACGATTCTCACTTAACTTCCCTGGCCTTGTTATTTAGCAGCTTGTTATGATAGAGTTAGTGCGATAATAGAAACTCTCTCAATAAGGTGATGAGTCGTTTGCGCTTTTAAACATTTACTCCCATTCTAACTCATACCCATCCTCTCCTGCAAAAATAACCAGCCGAGGTGATTGAGATGAATTTAATCTTCTCTAAAAGGGGGAGATGTTAAATTGCGTTTGAGTAGGGAATGGAGACCAATTACAATCTGGCATAATGTAAAACTAATCTTAGACCTTTAAAAAAAAAAA